CTGGAGCACTCCGCTCAGCTGATCGGCACAGGCCCTCAGAACTCTGGGACAGACGTTGTCTGGTCCTGTGGCCTTACCTTGGTGCAGCGTCTTCAGCTCCTTCTTCACCTGGTCAGCCGTGATGGTCAGCCTGGCCTGGGGGATGGTGCTCATAGCGCTGTCAGTGCTGCAGGTTTTAATGGCGGAGGTGTTGGAGAGTGGCAGCTCTGGGGGATGGGGTGTTGAGTAGTTGTTGGGGGTCATAGCTGTAGACGGCCATGATTGTGGGGGGGATGGAGAAGGTGTTGGGCAGTCGCAGCTGTGAAGGGTTAGGGAGCATGTGGCTGTGGGGGGATGGGTGTTGAGCCTCAGAGGGCCCTGAATCAAACCTGTTAAAAAACTGGTTCGACTCATTGGCCATCTCCAGGTTCCCCTCCGTTGCACCCCCAGCCTGTTTGAAGCCAGTGATCTCTCTCATGCTGCTGCATACATCCCTCACCCTTTTCCTTTGCAGCTTGTCCTCTACCTTCCTCCTGTAGGCGTCCTTGCTCTCTCTTAACTTCTGCTTTAGTTCCCTCTGTACACGCTTGACCTCTTCCTTATCCCCCCTCCTAAAGGCTCTCTTCTTGTCATTCAGAAGAGCCTTCAGGTTGCTGGTGATCCAGGGTTTGTTATTGGAAAAGCAGTGTACGTCTTTGGTGGGGATGGTGTCGTCTACACAGAAGCTAATGTAGTCAGTGACACAGTCCACTATGCTGTCTATGTCGTCCCCATGTGGTTTGTACAGCACATCCCAGTTGGTGGCCTCCAGAGCACCACGTAGATCCTCCATAGCCTCCTGAGACCATCTCCTCACAGATTAATAAATGATGTTATTAATGTGAAATACTGTATATGTGGGTTTTTTTTCTGAAAAGGTGAAACATTTAAAAGCCAGGGTTTAGAATCTTTCAGCTGGGGTTCTAAATGGTGGTTCAAACAGTAAAGTACTTGTTTATGAGTGAAAGTTGGGTGTTATAGTTCAGACATTAGTGAGTCAAGTCTGGGCTGTCTGAGATTAAAAATCATTCAATTCATTGACGATTGTCAGGAATAGGGGATCCTATGTCAGTCAAAGTATCCATGGCACCTGTTAATTTGCAGAGTTTTTTATTGTGAATATACTTCACTTATATACTTATATACTTTATGTACTTCAGCTGATATTAACTTACAGTGTGAATAAGAATTTGATAACTCTAACTGACATTGTACTTTTCAGAAGAAGGCATGCACACAGCTCCTCTCTTCCAAGCCATTAAGAGAGTCATAGCAGCAGTGAGCTAAGTGGAACAACAACTTGTGATTTCCAGCTGGGTGGATACATTGAAAAAAACCATGTCCACACACAAGAAAAAACAGAACTAACCTCCATATAATAAGCAGAATGTTCAAATTGGAGGATATAAAAAGAAAAGTGAGAGACTGCATTTGTTTAAAAACTGAGAAAATCTTTCTGGGAAATTATTATTATCTATGCATTATCTATTATTATTATCTTTCTGTGCATAATAATACATTAATCATACAAATGTACCATACAGCATGGATGCAAACCAATTGTATAGTTAAAGATTAAACTAATTAACTTCCACTTTATTTCAGCCTTTTAGCATAGATATATGTATACAGTATATATGCATGTGTTATTCTGGATGTATGATCTTCAAATCTTTTTTTTGTCCTTCATTCATGTGCTATGAAATGGCCTCTCACTACTCTCTCCTAGAGTGAGAAGCAGATCTTTCTCATGGGAGTGGTGTCCCACTGTGCTTTTCTATCACCACCTACCAGGACATGAAGCGCAGCTGTTTCTAAAAACATTTTTTTCTCATGGAAATAAAAGGAATTCAACAAAGTTAGAGAATCAGGTCACAAACAACTTTAACCGCCCTGCTAGGGCAGTATAGCACACCATGTTGGAATGGAAATTTCCTTGTCTTTCGTTAGTTAGTTTTTCTTGCAGAGAAATGTGCTGCTAATAAAGCATGTTTAAATAAAGCAGGTTTATGAACTGTGGGAAAGCTATGAAGAACTGTGCCTTTTTTGCTAAGCTGGCCAATTAAACATGAGGGTTCTCAAATACCAAATTTCTTGGTGGCCTGAACATGCAGTTAACAAACTTTTCTGGTGGCAGTGAATCCGTTCTCTTATAGGAAACACTTGTGCTGTATTCTCACTCTGCCACTGACAGTAAGATGTAAGCCATGCAGAATCACTCCATAGGTTTTGATGAATCCCAAAGCCACATGAAAGTGTGGTTACCCCGTTTTGGACAGTATGAAATTGGATTGTCTTTTATGGTGAGACCACCCCAGCTAATGACTCAAGCTAATGTGGATCGTTTGATTGAATGCATGGAATGAAACAGCTGTTATTTTACACTTTGATAGTTTGTGGATTGTCTTTTATTTGCCATTCTCTCTAGCCCTTGTCCAGGAGAGCTTTTGTGTCTTCTTCTTTTAATTTCAACCATGCTGTCATGTACTTACATACTGTACATGATGGTGTGTGCTGTTTCATGGCCATTGATTGAGACTTCCATTCCTAATTTATTGTAAAAATCTTTTAGGAAAGCACATCCATCTCCTACTACATTGGAATATAGTTTTCTTTTTGTTGAAACAGAGTGTGTAATACTGTAATACAATACCTTTTCAGTGTGCTTTTGAAATCCTTATAAATCCTTAGATGATATACTGTACTGTAACATCACTAAATGAACAGCAAAACACTCCTACACTTAAATCTGTAAGGCTTTAAATAATCTGGCTCCATCATACATCTCTGAACTCCTCTATGTTGACTCTTCCTCCCACAGGCTCCGTTCATTTGAGGCTGGTCCTTTGCTCACTGTTACTCAGACTGAATCTTGGTCTTTGATCCATTGTTATGGAATGCAGTTCCTCTGACTCTTTGAGAGACAAATTCTTTGACTCTCAAAATCTGACACTGTTAACCTAGATCTCCATTGTACATTCCAGAATTTGGAAAAACCAACTTCCTATATTCATATCCTTTTCTTTGGATTTAGTTTGGCCTTCAACAACATTAACGCACATAAATCATATAATAAATGGCTGGATTTGAGCATGAACTTTGTTATGCATCATTGGATTCTGGACTTTCTGATGTGCCTCTATCAAATGGTAAAAGTGAATAACAGGACATCTTACCCTTTGACTCTTAGTACAGGTGCTTCCCAAGGCTCAATGTCCTACAGTATCTCTGTCTTATTTCCCTTTTTACAACTTCACTTGACTTGGTTAAGACATTTAATTATCCAGATGATACTTCTGTTGTTGCCCTTACTTCTGATAAATTATGAAACTCCATGCCAACAGGTTATAAACTGGGGTACAGTTCTGTTCTGATATGGCCTTCAACTCGATGCATTCAGAACTAAGGAAATAATTATTGATTTTAAATGTGTCTGGGACATCAAACTCACCACCATCATTGATGGCCATTCTATAGTTACCACAGACTCCTCCAAATTCTTGGGAAAAATATGTACAGTAAGTGACTATCTTAAGTGGAACACCAACACAGATGAAATAGAGTTAAGAAGGTGCAGCAGAGGATGTACTTTCTCAGGCAACGTATTAGTCTATTTTAGCCATAATTCAAAGTATTTTGATAGCTACCACACACAGTTTGTTAGGGAATTTGAACAACTTTACAAAAGGAAATGCTAAAAGGATCAAGTTCAAAGCCTCAAAACTAATAGTCTCTGAAAACCCTTCTGTACTTCCAATCATACTTACAAGATTATTTCAGACACCTCTCATACAGCTCTTAATCTTGTTTAGCTCCCCCCTTCAGGTAAATGCTTTAAATTGATCCCATGAAGAACTGCCCGCCTTAATCTTAGCTTCTTTCCTACTGCCGTACAAACTTTGAACTCTCCCACTTCAGCTATTTAGCCTCCCATGAGTATCTCCTTTACCATTCTGTTACCAAATATAAGGTAACTGTTTACACGCGTATATGATTATGATTGTGTTTTGCTTGTCTTTTCATTTTAATTTCTATATATTTTTAATGTTTGTATGTTTTGTGTTTCTGCCTTATCTGTGTTCCCTTGCTGTACTGAAAGCAAGTTCCACCAACTATTGTGTGGCAATAAAGAATTCTATTCTAATATTCTGTATATTCTATAATATTCTATCTTAACTCAAAACTCATCTTTTTATGAGGGCTTGTGTCTGATTGCCCTGCAGCTTATCTTGTAAATTCTTATTTTTTCGTTTACGTTTGTTGCATTTTTGTCTTTTTCTTTATCACTATGTAGTGTGTTTTTGGGTTTGGGAAGATGTTTAAAAATAAAACTTATTATGAGAATATATTGGTTCTCCTTTTTGTGGAGTTTGCATGCTCTCTTCATGTTCACAAGAGTTCCTATTTGCTTGTGTGTGTTGGTGTGCTCTGCAATGGACTAGTGTCCTGACCAAGGCGTAATTCCACCTTGAGCTCTTTGACTTTATGATAGGCTCCAGGCTGCCATTAAGAGGAGTTCTGATAATGGATAGATGGAGAGAGTTTTTGGTGGGCTTCTAGAATATTTTTGTCTGTAGACCCTCAACCCTTTTGGTGGCCATGTTGCAGTAATAATTCTATACTTTAGTCCCAGGGTTCTGAACTCCTGTCCAAGATTAACTACGCTACTGTTAAAGATGTTAAGTGTCACCAAAGGATAGCGAGCAATACAAGGATTCAATGATATATTGAAGGGGTGGGGGGTACTGGATAAAAGTTGAGTTTATTAGCAGAAACATACATTTTTTTTGTTATATCTGTTCTTATCAAATTAGTGACCCAAGAAATCATTGTTACATGTTACACACTTTTATTGTGGTATCTATCAGTGATCGTGCACAAGAGTCTAATGCTGTCTGAATGGCTGAACACTCTTCACTGATGTTAGTCTGCCCTTGGCCTTCACTGTCACTTCATATTTGTTTGTAATTCTATTTCGGCAGACGACTTTGCAGACGAAGAGGAAGTGCAGTCCTTTGGATACAAGAGGTTTGGTAAGTAGACTGCAGATCAAACATAATTCAGCCAAAGTATCGCGTATACACATTCACATAGCACTGATCAATTCATTCCGATATCAGTCTCTTCTACCCACAAAATAATCAATAGCAATAGTAACAATTTCACCATCCTGTGCTCATTAATGAACTTTTGTTTAGTCGGAGGGCAAGGATTTCTTTTGGACACTGAATGAATTGTCACCTGTATGAAAGCATATTTTATGTGAGGATCATGTTATCCGGTCAAACAAGTCAGTTTTTTATGGAAGAAAACCAAATTATTGATTTTTTTGTGTAAAGTGTCTATATAGGTCTATATAGGTCATCTTTTTTGATAAACATGCTCATGAAAAGGTGTGATTTCTATCACTGTTATTATAAACAGAGTATGTTGGCATTTCAAAGTACAGATTAACTGTATACCTGTATTTAAATTAAATTAGAATTTCAACCTACTGTACCTGCCTATTGAAAATTACAAACTCAGTACTTTACAGCAGCACTGTAGTGGATAAAGGCAAAGAACTTATGAGAAGAAAATTCAAGCTTTTGGGTTTGTTATTTGCCGTTTGCTAGTGAGTCCAATGTGTAATTTAATATGAACCTAAAACTATGAAATTATTTTACACCTTAATTGCTGCCTTACTGAGGGAGACAGTCTATTGGTCTTAGCTTGTATGTAATTAAATAAATTGATGTGTAGGTTTTTACAATTTACAGTCCTGGAACTGCTTATTGTGTAAAAATTAAGGTTTCCATACACAGTTATGTATGACCTGCTTAATTAGATTATATACCTTAGATACATGGACTATTTTTAAACTCTTATTGAAGATCATAATTTGAGCATTCAAATAGGTAACTAATTTCTGTTAGTCTGCTCCAGTTCCAGAGGTGAGGAATTTCTGGCAGGCAAAATAAATTATATTATTTATTTTGATAAGCATCCTTCACAGTATCATTGGAATCCAAAATATTTCTGACATACCTGTTAGAATCTGATGGATATTTAATGTTTTAGTATTTTTTCATTTTAAGTATCAGTACCAACATTGCATCACAAATATTAGAATGCATTGTACATATAAGTAAAACAATATTTGTAATACATAAAACTTTCTCCTTTTAATTTAATTTAGCTCAAGGATTATACAGAACAATGGGGCATAACTGTACTACACAACCAATCCAATAGGAATTCCACTCAAAACACTTAATGTTATCTACAGGATACAAGCAACCCAGCTCTTACCAGAGCTGGAGCTGGAAATCGGTGTCAGGCACAGCCAGTAATGTCCTGGCCTTGAGTGGTTCTTTGACTTTAGTCATGGTCTTAAAATAGACAGTGCTGGAAGTAAGGGTGAAGTTCTCTTGAGGGAATACAGGTGCAGTACTTCCACAATTAATCATTCCAAGTCTTTTTAGAGTGTGTAAACGTTTACAAGCACATAGAATCCACAATCAGAGCAAAAAGTTAAGTAAAATTAGAAAAGATATTTAAAGATTCTTGAAGAAGTGTTTAGTGTTTGCAGAAGCTCCTCAACGATTTCAAGAAGGATTGTCATGATTCCTCATTTATGAAATACGCAACTGTACAGTATGTGTACAGAGCATATGAAATGTAACAAATTAAAGGGAGAAACTGTACTTCAGACTTGGCCATCCCAGTCATTAAAATATCTTGGAAGAGAAACTATCCTGTTTATTTTGATCTGTGACTTGGCTGTGGCTCTGACAAAGATAAAAAAAGGAAGAAGGGAGCCAATGTTAGTGCTTTTTAGAGTTTATTTAAATGAACTTTAGACCTGTGGAAACTTAAAAAAATTATAACATAAAACGAAAGTAAACACTTAAACCAGAACACTTAAACTCAGATCATCCCTGGTGTTCTTGGCTTGTGAAATCACCTGGCAACTGTTATGCTGTATTTTTTATTACCACCAGCTGACCTAACCTAAAACAATTGTTGAATTACAAAGGAACTTACACATGGTAACACTTAAAAATTTCATTCACCATTGCCTGTTTTTTTACTCTGAGTCACATGTAGAATCAGGGTCGTATGAAGACAAATTGTAGACAATATTCAGATACAACAGAGGGCGTTTTTTTTCACCAAGCAAGTTTGATTAGTAATTGCTTTGTACCGTATAATAATTCTTGTTACAGTATCATCAGTTTTGACCAGAACTTAACAATTTACAGTATGTAAAAGTCTTAATGGAAACAATTACTCTTGTTTTATCAAGAAAGGTTTTTCAACTTTGTGTATGGTGAACTTATTTGTGGATCTCACTAGCTTAGTTACAGCAACTTATGACAGAAACAAATAAAATCTGATACTGTATATATATTCTTTCCTAGCCTTCAGACTGTTTATCTGCATAACATTTGCTAGGCAGTGTATTTTAGGAACTAATTATAATAGCAATTATCCAGAAAAGGATAAAAGGGAAAAGTATGGGACTGCAAACAATGAAGAATAAGTTCCATGAAAAATAACCGAACATATTAGACGTTAATGATTTCTGCTTTAACACATTTTTTATTCCTTGAGAAAACTAAAAAAAGTTTAAATGTGGTGAGTTTTTTTGAGGCAGAAGGCACCTTTCCACGTGGTCTAGACTAGTAATTTTGGATCCTGTGTGGCTGTGTGTACAGTTTAACTAGAGCAATGTATTACAGTTAGCAACAGTACTTTCTCATGAACGTCTGTTCAATTAATTCTGATATCAGTTAGGAAGATCTTTAATTTGAAGATGGGTGCTTTATAAGAAAGTCACATTGCCTATCATTTTGGTATAAATCATAATTTCTCTTTCATTTTTGTTAGTGTTTACCATACTCAAGTTAATTTGTTTTTCTGATTTTTTTAGCATATCCCTCTGATTCAAAGTAAACATGTTTGCTTTTGCTGAACTGCAGCCTTATCAGAGTTATCTCTTGATAAAAAATTACATTTTGGAAGCTGGAATGAGGATTGCTTTCACCATGTGACTCTGGGGTTCACGGACACTTAATGGGAGAGCTTTTATATCCTTGTCAGTGGCAAGTGGAAACTGGGCGCAAGACAGCCAGAGCATTTCTGACTGAACAGGGTATTCACCTTTAAACCTTGACCTGCTGGAGTGGCCCACCACGTGAATTAAATTAATACCTCCTGTATCCTGTATTTCAAAGGAGCAATTCAAAATCTTTCCTTAATGTCATCCCCTGATACCTGGCAGGAAAAATAAGTACAAAAAAAAGTTCTGCTTCAGTTTGTTGTCTTAGTTTACTTAGGCGAAGAGAACTGGAGAGAGAGGTCTGAGGTTTAGAGGTTTTTTTTTTCCTTAACATCTGCATTTTGGAAAAGACAGCCTCCCGGGGGATGGTGTAAAACCTGAAGTGTGCTGATCTGTTTCCTGTGCTTGTTATGATTTCTTCCCTGCAACCTTATATGCCCCTGGGCTCCAGAGCCTGGGTTCTGTACCCTGGCCCAGCTGTGTCAGCAGGACCAGGGGACTGCTGTTGGGTTGCCCTCCTGCAGGCTTTAGCTTTTCTTATGGATTATGTCCAAGCACCAAGTTTCACCAAGTTCCACACCAGTACCAATCGCTGCTGCCAACCAGGATCCCCTAGAAATGACCTTTTATTAGAGTTCTGAAAGGTCTTTGTGCTGTACATAACTGGGGCACTGACTTCTTTAGAGAAGCACAACCAGACTTTTGAAGCTGCATTAAGCTTCTATTTAACTTTTTTGGAAACTTCATAAAAGCAAAAATGTTTACATCTCTTTTAAGTAATTAAAAATGATCTTAAACTTTATTACCAACCTCTGAGACTGGTGGTATATATACTGAGTAACTGAATATTTTCTTGTTTTCTGCATGCTTTCCAAATACAGTATTCCAAATAAGTGGTTTTAAATGAATGTGGCTTCAAACTGTAAAAGCAAAAAAATCGCTTAGCTTGCGCCATTCTAATGTTTTTTTGCAGTTCACATTTAACTTTCTAATGACATGGTTGGGAGTTATTATTCTTATGAGTCTTGTTTATTTTTCCCCTTTTTCATATTTTGTAGTTTCAAGTTTCTAAGGACAGGTTTGGATCTTTCTTTTGCAATATTTCATTTTTCACTTCTGAGGAATTAAAACAAAGCCAGTTGACAGCCATCAACCACGTAATTGGCATCAGTTTAGCACTTTTACTTTTAATAGGACACTTGACCACACAATTGACCTTAAGATATTGATTGTGCAAAGTGATAAATCTGAGTGGCATAAATGCAGACATAAGGTATAATTAATACCTTCTCTTATTCAGGAAGGGTTACCATAGAGATTTTCCTTTATAAAACACACCATTGTCAAAACTTAGCTTTTTGTAAGGAGGTGCATTGTTTTTTTTTGTAGCAATTTGATGATGCGTTTAAAATAAAAAAGGACAATTGTTCTGATAATGAAGAAGTACATATTTGAAAGTATTTACTTTCACCTATCTCAGAAGAGAGCCAGTCTGCTGTAACTTTTTTATTGCATTCTGCATTTCCAGCTTTGGTCAAAGAGGACCTGTTCCTCAAATTATTTTAAGCTGCCCCAGGGAAGAACTCACAGAAAATAGTCCAAAAGATTTACAGTGAGGGTAATAACCACAAATAGCCTTGACTGACTCACTGACCACGTGAACCGCTCCACCTGTGAGCCTGCTATAAAGCGCATGGCTTGAAAAACGCTAACAGGCACTTGAGTGGAGGCCAAACGAGAAAAAAAGTGCTTCACACTTGGTGACCTCTTTAATCACAGAAAAAAGGGGCATCTGTTCAAAGCGCAAGGGAATTTCTGAATCACTAATCTAGCAGTCTTGTACACTAATCTGATTATGACACTGTGCCAAGGTTATTAAATAAAAAGATACTCTTTGATTTAGCTGCCTGCTGTTATTCTCAAAACTATGAGTGTATGGAGGTCGTCCGAGTAATAACCTCTCAGGTACCAATCTAGGAGCAATTTTGT